TCAATATTTCTGATGAACATCAATGCAAAATTCCTCAAGAAAATACTTGCAAATAGAATTCAGTGGCATCTCACAAAGCTAATCCACCACGATCAAGTAGACTTTATCCCTGAGATGCAAGGTTGGATCAATACATGCAGATCAAAAAACATGATTCATCACATAAACAGAGCTAGATGCAAAAACCACATGATTATCTCAATAGGTGTAGAAAAGCCTGTTGATAAAATTCAACACCCTTTCATGCTAAAAATTGTCAATACACCACGTACTGAAGTAACATGTCGCAAAATAATAGGAGTCACCCAGGATATACTCACAGCCAATATCATACTGAATGGGCAAAAACTGGAACCATTGCCCCTTGAAAACCAGCACAATATAGGGTTTCCCTCTTTCACCACTCCTATTCAACATTGTATTGGAAGTTCCAGCAAGAGCAATCAGGCAAGATAAAGAAATAAAGGGCATCCAAATAAGAAGTCAAACTGTCCCTGCTTGCAGATGACATTATTCGATGTCTAGAAAACCCTATAGTCTTAGCCCCAAAGCTCCTTTAGCTGATAACCAACTTTAGCAAAGTTTCAGGATGTAAAATCAATGTACAAAAATCACTAGCATTCCTAAATATACACAATAGTCAAGCCGAGAGCCAAATAAGGAAGAAAAGTCTATTCACAGTAGCCACAAAAATAATAAAATATTTAGAAATACAGCAAATGAGGGAGATAAAAGAGAGCCCAGAAATAAAGCTGCACATATATTACCATCTGATCGAAGTTGACAAAAAAGAAGCCATAAGAAAAAGACTTCCTATTCAATTAATTGTGCTAGTATATCTATCTAGTCATATGCAGAAGGTTGAAACTGAACCCCTTACTTACACTATATACAAAGATGAACACAAGATGGATTAAAGATTTGAATGTAAAACCCAAAACTTTGAACTCCCTGGAAGACAACCTACACATCCTGGACATAGGAATGGACAATGATTTCATGACAAGGCATCAAAAGCAATCTCATAAAAAGGAAAAATTGATGAATGTGATTTAATTAAACTTAACAGTATCTGCACAGCAAAAGAAACCACCAACAGAGTAAACAGACAACCTACAGAATGAAAGCAAATATTTGCAAATTATGCATTCGAGAGAGGTCTAATATCCAGTTTCTGGAAGAAACTTAAATAATTTTACAACAGAAAACCAAGCAACCCCATTAAAAAGTGGGCAAACGACAAGGACAGACACTTTCAAAAGAAGACATACATGTGACCAACAAGCATATAAAAGAAAGTTCAACATCACTGATCATTATAGAAGTGCAAATCAGAACCACAATGCGATACCATCTCACACCAGTCAGTATGGCTATTTTAAAAAGCCAAAAACAAAAACAAAAATAGATGCTGGTGAGTTTGGGGAGAAAAGGGAACACTTATACACTGCTGGGGGCAGTGTAAATTAGCTTAGCCATTGTGGAAAGCAGTATGGTGATTCCTCAAAGATCTAAAAGTGGAAGTGCCATTCAAATCAGCAATCACATTATTGGTTATATACCCAGAGGAATTTAAATCGTCCTGCCATACAGACACATATATGACAATCTTTATTGTAGCACTCTTGACAATAACAAAGACACGGAATCAACCTAAATGCCTATCAATGACAGATTGGTTAAAGAAAATGTGGTACCATGGAATACTACATATTCATAGGATAGAAGAAAATTATGTCATTGTGGGAACATAGATGGAGCTGGAGGCTGCTATGCATAGCAAACTAATGCAGGAACAGAAAACCAAATACTACACATTCTCACTTATAAGTGGCAGCTAAATGATGAGAATTCATGAACACAAAGAAGGGAGCAACAGACACTGGATTCTACTTGAGGGTAGAGGGTGAGAGGAGGGAGAATAGCAGAAAATTTAACTAATGTGTATTGGGCTTAATAGATGTGTGATGAAAGAATCTGTACAATAAACCTTTGTGACACGAGTTCACCTATGTAACAAACCTTTACATGTATCCCCAAACCTAAAATAAAAGTTAAAAAAAGAAAGAAAAGTAAATGTTGAGTACTATGCTTAGTACCCTGATTACAAAATAATCTGTACAAAAAAACCCTATGACCTTGAATTTATCTAGGTAACAAACCTGCACATGTACCCCTGAACCTAAAATAACAGCTAACTTTTTTTAAAAAACAAAAGAACTAAGTTTTTTTTTTTTTTTCCCAGTCCACTGTTTACCATATGTTGAGAGGTGGGCTGATAGGGTTTAGATCTGTGTCCCCAGAAAAACTCATGTGGAATTGTAATCCCCAGTGTTGGATGTGGGCCCTGGTGAGAGGTGATTGGATCATGGGGGTGGATTTTTCATTACTGTTTTAACACCATCCCCATTGGTATTGCCCTTATGAGAGTAAGTGAGTTTTCATAAGATCTGGTCATATAAAAGTGTGTGGCACCTCTCCCATCACTGTCTCTCATTCCTGCTCTGGCCTTGTGAAGTGCCTGCTTCCCCCTTGCCTTTCACCATGATTGTTAAGTTTCTGGTTGCCTCCACAGAGGCTGAGCAGATGCCAGCATCATGCTTCCTGTGCAGCCTATGGAGCCATGAGCCGATTCAACCTGTTTTTTTATCAAGTCTCAGGTATTTCTTTATAGCAATGCAAGAACAGACTAGTACATAAAATTGACACCAGGAGTGGGGCATTGCTATTAAAATACCTGAAAATGTAGAAGCAGCTTTGGAATTAGGTAACAGGCCAAGAGTTTGGAAGGCTCAGAAGGAAACAGAAAGATGAGGGAAAGTTTGGAACTTCCTAGAGACTGGCTTAATGATTCTGACCAAAACACTGATAGGGATATATATGATAAAGTGCAGGTTGGTGAGGTCTCAGACGAAAATGAGGAACTTATTTGGAACTGAAGCAAAGGTCACTTTTTTATGTCTTAGAAATAAACTTGGCTGTATTGTTTTCCTGTCCTAGAGATCTGTGGAACTTTGAACATTAGAGTGAGGATTTAGGGTCTCTGGTAGAAAAAATTTCTATCCAGCAAAGTGTTCAAGATGTGGCCTGGTTACTTCTAACATCCTATCATCATATGTGTGAGGAAAGAAATAATCTAAAGTTGGAACTTATATTTAAAAATGAAGCAGAGTGTAAAGCAGATTGAAAAACATATAGCCTGGCCATATGATAGAAAAGAAGCCAACTTTCATGGAAGAAATTGAAGCAGGCTACAGAAATTTGCATAAGTACAAAGGAGCCAAGTGCTAATAGCCAACACAATGGGGAAAAGGCCTCAAAGACTTTTCAGAGACCTTTGCGGCAGCTCTTCTTTGCAGGCCCAGAGGCCTAGTAAAACTGCATGATTTTGTGTGCCAGGCCCACAGCCCCCAATGTTTTACATAGCCTTAGAAAGCCTTACAAAACCTCACTGCTTTCTGCATCCTGGCTACTCTAGCTCCAGCTGTGGCTTAAAGAGGCCCGGGCACAGCTCGGGCCTGCAGCTTTGGAAGGTGCAAGCCATAAGCCTTGGTGGCTTCCACGTGGTGTTAAGCCTTCTGGTACACAGAGTGAAAGAGTTAGGGCTTGGAAGCCTTTGCTTAGATTTCAGAAAATGTATGAAAAAGCCTAGGTGTCCAGGGCAGAAGCTTCCTGCAGGGTTGGAACCCCACAGAGAACCTCTACTAGGGCAGTGCAGAGGGGATATGTGGCATTGGAGCCCCCACAAAGAGTACCCACTGTGGCTTTGCCTAGTGGAGCTGTGAGAGGAGAAACAGCGTCTTCCAGCCCCAGAATATTTGGTCCATTAACAACTTGCACTCTGCATCTGGAAAAGCCACAGGCACTCAAGACCAGTCCATGAAAGCATCTAATCTATGGAGGCTTAACTTTGCAAAGCCACAGGGGTGGAGCTGTTCGAGGCCCTGGGAGCCCACCTTTCACACCAGTATGCCCTGATGTAGGACATAGAGTCAAATAATGTTATTTTGGAACTTTAAGATTTAATGACTGCCCTGCTGGGTTTCAAACTTGCACAGGACCTGTAGCCCCTTTCTTTTGGCCAATTTCTCCCTTTTGGTTTAAGAATATTTACCCAATTATCATATTCCCATTGTACCTTGAAAGTAAATAGCTTGTTTTTGATTTTACAGTCTCATAGGTGGAAGGGATTTCCCTTGTCTCAGGCGAGACTTTGGACTTTGAGTTAATGCTGGAATGAGTTAAGACTTTGTGGGATATTTGGGAAGGCATAATTGTATTTTACCATGTGAGAATATGAGATTTTGGGGCCAGGAGCAGAATGATATGGTTTGTATCTGTGTTCCTATCAAATCTCATGTCAAATTGTAATCCTCAATGTTGGATGTGGGGCCTGGTGGGCAGTGATTGGATGATGGGGTTGGATTTCATGTGAATGGTTTATCACCATCTCTCTTAATATTGTCCTCACAAGAGTCAATGAGTTCTTGTGAGATATGGTTGTTTAAGAGTGTGTCACACCTCCCCTCCCAATCTTTTGTGCTCCTGCTTCAACCATGAGAAGTTCCTGCTACCCTTTGCCTTCTGCCATGATTGTAAGTTTTCTTAGTTCTCTCCAAAACCCAAGCAGATGCCAGTATCATGCTTCTTCTGTAGCCTGTGGAACCAAAAATTAATTCTCTTTTTTCCATAAATTACCCAGTTTCAGATATTTCTTTATAGCAATGCAAGAATAGACTAATACAGAAGGGACAGTATACTAGGTACACAAAATTTTTAAATAAGGGACCAGACCCCAAATACCTGACAGAACTACTCACTCTCTAACCCTTACCTCCTCCCAACACACACACACACACACACACACACACACACACACACACATGCACAGACGCACACACACATATACCCCTCCAAACCTGGTCTGGAACCTCCTTTTTATTTTCCTGAAGAACATATCAGTTTCGTAGGTGAAACACATAACACTGAATTCAAATTATAGGTCAAACATCAACTCTTTTTTATTTAGTTAGAAATGAGCCAACTGTTGCTGAATGGCCTCTCTGACATAACCTGCCATCTCAAAAGCTTTGAGGTTGAGAGGCCCTCCCTCTGTTCCTTTTTGTCCAATCACCACAAGCCATACAGACTCGATCTGAACTACTGTCACTGCCCGGCTGCTCCGACTCTGGCCTTTGGTGCGCAGGTCCATGGTGTTGTTGCCTTCAGCATACAGATTGTCTCGAATTAACAAGCATTTGATCCCTGCAAGGGTGACTCCTTGGAGAAACAACTTCTCTCTCTCCTCCCTTGCCAGTAAAATCTGAATTTCTTCCTGGGTCAACTGTAACAAGTTGCCTTCAGAATAAGAAGCTAATAACCAGGGTGGGGAATTGGTGATAATTGCTGCGTCACAGCACATACCAGTCTGTAGGAGGATACTGATGCAGTCCTGCCAGACGTCTTCACTGATATCCTGTATGCACTGCATGATTCAGATAAGCAGTCTCTAGCAAGTTGGTCTTCAAAGGAAATTTGTTAGCACTTGGCTCAAGAAGTCTGATAAGCTGAGACTGAAATAAACTAAAAATACAGACTACTTCTTATGGTCTTTCCCCAGAAGCAAGGTAGAGGAGGTCTTGGTGACTTGAATAAAGTTGTGCCCCAGCTGCCATCTGCTGTGATTTATCAAGCTACCTCAAGAATAGGAGTGAGGTCACAAAGGTTCTGTGACTTTTTAAAGAGTCATAATCAATGACATCATTGGTGATCTCTGGCAGTAGCTTTCTGAGGCTGTATCTGCAGCTATAAAGATAGCGGGTACAATGTATACCTACTTACTTCCCTGGTATACCATGAGAAAAATACCAACCCCCAATAGTATGAAAACCCTTAGTAGAACATAAGTGGGAAATAACTGAGTTGAAGGCTTAGATGTGAAATAGGACAGGTGAGGCTTACTGTAGCAATTAGTATCTCATATGTTGGCTAATCTTACTGAGACCTGAGCTTTAGGTATAAAGTCAAAAAGCCCACAGGATCGCCAGTTCACAACTTATTTTGAGATGATGACAACAGCCTCCTACTTGGCTTCCTTGTCTCTGCACTCATTCCCTTTAGTTTACCCACTAACCATTAGTCTAAAGTCGTTCATTTAGTTATTTATCAAACATTTACCATGTGCCAAGAACTTGTCTAGGCAGTAGGGTGCAGCAGTGAACACAACAGAGACAAACTGCTGCCTTCATGGAGCTGACATTCTACAGGGAAGAAACAAATAATAGATGCTACTAGTATCTCTTTCACTGTAAGCATTTTTATTAGCCTAGTAGTTTTTTTCTTCCAGATTTTATCTCTTATTTTCAGGCTTTCTCTACTCCAATGGGGGTACATTCTGACTTGTGGCTCTTCTGTAACCTTTGTCAAGTCGCTATATGTGCATCAATTTCTTCTGAAATGACACTAACTTGCCTTAAAAAGAAAATGTTATTAGAAATCACTAATGTTAATGGTGGGAAAAATTTGGGATACCTCTAAAAATATTTGTTGTTTTTATTCAACAAACATTTATTGAGTACATACTATGTGTCAGGACTATTCTAGACTTTGGAAATCCAACAGTGAACAAAAAGTCCCTGACCTCATAGAGATGACATACTACAGAGAGAGGTAATAAATGACAAATACATTTATAATATATCAGGTAGTATTGATAACTGTGAAGGAAAAAGGAGTGTAGAGAACGTTGGAGAAGACTTGGTGATAGTTTTATTTTATATATGGTGTTCAGGTAGGGGAGGATTCTCTGGTGCAGTGACATTTGATCAGAGGCCTGACAAAGATGAGGGAGTAAACATAGAAATATCTGGGGGAAGAGCATTCTAGGCAGAGGAAATAACAAATATAAAAGCCCTGAGGCAGAAGCATGTCTGGTATATTTAAGAAACTGCAAGGAAACCAATATGACTTGAGCAGACAGAGAAAAGAGTGATAGAAGATATAATAGATGTAATCAGAATTGTACTGGGCTTAGATAATATGTAGGGGCTTATAGACTATAGTTAATGTTTGGCTTTTACTCTGAGATGGGGAGCCATTACACAGCTTTAAACCAAGGAACGATATCATTGTAGATTCTAGATTCTAGTCCCATAGAAGATGCTATGTAGATTACAGGTTCTAGGGGGACCAGGGCCAAAACATGTAGACCAGCTAGAGATTGTGGCAACAATCCATGCAAGAGACAACAGAGGCTTGGGGCTAGGCACAGTGGCTCATTCCTGTATTCCCAGCACTTTGTGAGGTGGAGGTGGGAGGATTGCTTCAGTCCAGGAGTTGGAGACAAGCCTAGGCAACATAGAAAGACATCATCTCTACTAGAAAAAAAAAATTAAAAGAAAAAAATTAGCCAGGCATGGTGGTACACCTGTAGTCTCAGCTAGATGGGAGGCTGAGACAGGAGGATCACTTAGGCCTGGGAGTTGGAGGCTGTAGTGAGCTATGATTACACCACTGCACTCCAGCCTGGGTGACAGAGAGGCATTGTCTCAAAAAATAAAAAAAAATAATAAAATAGAGGCTTGGGCCAAGGTACAGAAGTGAGAAGTAGTTGAATTTGGAGACTATTATGAGGGAAGAATTCATAGGATTTGATGATGAATCAGGTTTGGGATATGAGAGAAAGGATGACTCGAAGACTTTTGTCCTGAATGACCATGGTAAGTTTTAATGTTTGCATCTCCTCCAAAATTCATACTGAACCTTAATTCTCAATGCAACAGTATTAAGAGGTGGGGCTTTTAGAAGGTAAATTGGGCCATAAGGGGTGTAGTCTTATGGAGGGGATTGGTACCTTATAAAAGGGCTAGATGGAACTAGCCATGTGTGTATCTACTGCTATGTGAGGATACAGCGTTCCTCACTCCAGATGATGTAGCATTTAAGATGTCATCTTGGAAGCAAAGAAAGCCCTTCTCACCAGACACTGAACATACTGAAACCTTGATTTTGGATTTCCAGCCTTCAGAACTGTGACAAGTACATTTCTGTTCTGTACAAATTACCCGGTCTAGAGTATTTAGTTTTCACAGCACAAATACACTAAGACCAACTGGAATGATGGAGTTGCAATTTCCTGAGTTGAGTAACGCTGTATAAAGAGCAGGCTTGAGGATTCCGGTACAAATCAAAACTTCTGTTTTGGAAATGACAAGTTTGAGATGCCTCTAAGATATCTGAGTAGACATGTCAGTAGGCAGCTGGATATTATGGAATTTTAGAGTTCAGAGGACAGATAAAGATTAGAGATAACATTTTGGGAGTTGTCCACAAATAGACGCTATTTAAAGCCATGGCACCGGATGGCAGCACCCAGGGAATAATTGTAAATAAAGAAGAGGACCAAAGTCTGAGCTCTACCAAAACATGTAGAGACAGGTAAAATGAAGTGAAACGGCAAAGAAGGTTAGGAAAGAGAAGTCAGAGAAGTAGGAGAGAAAGTGGTATTTCTATCCCTGGAGTCAAGTAAACAAAATGTATCAAGGAGAAGGGAGTGATCAAATACCGCTGGGAGGACAAAAAGAGATCTGAGGATGACCAATGGATTTTGCAATGGGGAGATTATTGGTAAACTTGACAAGAACAGTTTGGTGGAGTGGTGGAAGAAAAGGCTGATTACTGTGGTTTCAAGCAGGAATAGGACAGGAAAAGAAGAGAATGGATTTAGATAAATATTTTGAAGAGTTCTGCTGTAAAGTGCAAGAGGAATGGGGGGTTGGTAGATCGGGGACAGAAATGTGGATCCAAAAAGATATTTTTTAAGATTGAAAATGCTATGGCATGCTTTCATGCTGATGGCAATGATCTAATAAAGTGGAAACATTTAGTAACAAAGACAAGGAAACAACTGAGCAGGCTAAAGAGAATGAAATTGAGTGGACAAGTGGAAGGGTTGCCTTAGGAAGGCTCAGGAAGAGTTCACTAATTGAAGGCAGATTATATGGGCTCATGTGCAGGACATCAAGCAAATTTGGTTGTGGGATGATGTGGCAGTTCCCTTCTCATGGCTTCTATTTTATCAACAAACTAAGAAGCAAGGTAAGCATTTGAGAGAGAAAACAGAAATGTTTGATGATAAAGTTGAGGAAAGGAAAGAGCCTATCAATATTCATTGTGTCTTTACAATGTTCCTGAAACCTCTTATACGTTACATTTTGAATTCCCACAAGAACTTTATAAGAATAGGTTTACAGATGAGAAAACTAAGCTACAGAGAGTCTGTGTAATTTGCCCAGGGCCATGTATTATTAGCATATAGCTTAGCCAAAATGTGAACCTGGTCTGACTAGAGCCTACATACCCTTTCCATTATCCTAAACAGCATGGAAGCAAGGTTTCGAGTCTAAGTAACTGAGTATATGGTGGTGCAATTAGTAGGGACAGGAAAAGTTTGAGAAAGAACAAGTGGTAGAGGTGGGAAAATACAAGGGGGTTGTGGAAGACTGTGAAAGATAAGTTTGTTTTGGGCCATGATGGCTTTAATGTGCTAATGAACACACAAGTAGAACTGTCAGAGGGCAATTGGAAGTTAGAAATTTGAACTCAGGGAAAAGGTCATGGTACTTGATATGTGAAGTCTGGGAGTCCCTTACTGGAGGCACGTTTGCCCCTTTTCACACTGCTGTAAAGAAATACCTGAGACTGGGTAGTTTATAAAAAAAGAGGTTTAATTGGCTCATGGTTCTGTAGGCCATACAAGAAGCATAGTGGCTTCTGCTTCTGGGGAGGCCTCAGGAAGCTTCCAGTCATGGTGGAAGGCAAATGGGAAGTGAGGCACTTCACATGGCCAGAATAGAAGGAAAGGGGGTAGGGGGTGGTGCCACAGACCTCTAAACCACTGGATCTCATGAGAGCTCACTCACTATGGCAATGACAGTACCAAGGGGGATGGCGTTAAATCATTCAGAAGAAACCACCCCCATGATCCAATCACCTCCCACTATGCCCCCACCTCCAACATTACGGATTACAATTAGACATGAGATTTGGTGGGGACACAGATCCAAGTCATATCCAGGAGTAAGGATTTAACTTGTGGAAGTGATCAAAATAATCAAAAGAATAAAAATAGAAGAGGAATGAGGAGAGAAGCCAGGAAAATGGCTTATAAAAAGGAAAAAGAGGAGCTGGGAAGGAGTCAGAGAAGGAACAGTCGGGGATGCAGCCAGTGAGTTTGCTTTATAATAAAGGCCAATGGAAGAAAGAATGTCAAAAAGGAATATGAATTAATAGTTTTAAGGGCTGTAAAACAAATAGAAAATGAGCACTGAGAAGAGCTGTTGGAATCAGCAACTGGAATTGAGGATGTTGTGAAAGCGCAGATTGAGCGGAGTGGTAAGGGAGGAGTGAGTTTGTTATGGAAAAGTGAAGGTGATGATAAGTACACTATTTTGAGATATTTGGCAGTCAAAGGACTGAAAATCATGGAACGATGGTACAAGGGAGAATAGGGTCATGGATTGAGGGAAGGGCTTTCAGGCTAGGGAAAAAGGCAGAATATGATAAACGAGTAGTTTTGCTAGCAAATGTTATGAGAACTCAAAGAAGAACAAAATTATTTTGAAGGAGAATTGAGATTGCAAGCCATAACCCTGCAATAGTAGAGCTAGAAATTACCCTGAGGTAGTGGCCAATAACCTCATTGTAATCTTGGTTAACTTGGACTCAGAGAGGTGGCATGATTTCCCCAAGGTCACACAGCAAGTTAGTGGCAGACCTGAGAGGAGTAGAACCCAGATTTTCCAACTCTCAGATTGTTCTTTTTTCCATCACAAATCTGACTTGGAGCACACCACTGAGGGTGTGCACCTATCTACCCCTCGTCTGAGAGTTGGTCTAGTGGGCCCTTCCTTGGTCCTCTTCCCATTTCTGTGATGGCAAATTTATGAGGGTACTGTAGTATTCTAGATTTTAACTAGGTTGATGGCAGCAGACACATAAAGAAGGGATAGAGAGGAGGTTATGCCTTTCCATATTTCAAAAGATATTCTATAATGACTTGCCTAAGGTCTCACAGCTAGGAAGCTCTTCAGAAACTCAATTGCCAGCATAACGGTAGCCTGTGTTACCGCTGCAGGATGCTATCACTGTAGTATTAGAGGAATAATATCTGTGTTCAGAGCCCTTATAGCATCAAGGAGTGTGAGAAGGGTGGCAGTACTAGAATTTGGAACTTAAAGACTAGGCCAAACGTTGAATCTGAACCAGGATAATCAATTCCCCGAAGAAAAGGGCATTTGCCAGGAATCAAGATGGCGGGAGCGGCTACGAGCGAAGTGTCGCGATAGGAGCTTCCGCCGAGAATCAGGTGACGAGAGTTTGAGCCAGGACCGGGAGGGCGGGGGTAGAAACCCGGGTTGGGGCCCAAGGCGGTTAGAGCGGTGGCGGCGGCATCCGGAGTAGCACTGAGATCTTCCGGCGGCGGGAACTGGGGTCATGGATCATATCACGGTACCCAAGGTAAGGAGAAGAGTTAAGCGAGGCTGACAGCCGCGAGCTTCTTCTTGGTGCTCACCTGGGAGGCCAGACACGCCTCCTCAGCCTTCTCAGAGTACTTTTTGATGCGTCTTTCCTATGTGGGGACCTGGGCTCTCTTTCTGGGTCCACACCCCCTTTCAACCAAACACCTCTTCTCGGGATCCGCTTGTGGGCGGCGGCGGCCGGGAAAGAGGTGGTCTGAGCCACCGTCCCCTTACGCGACACTGCCCCCGCGCCCGGTGCGCCCCTGTTCTGGCCCTCGGACTCCACTTTTCACCCACCCTTATCTCAGCTTTTTATACTAGCCGGACTTGTAACGGCCATTCGCGAATACCCCACATGGCACTGCCTCCTGCGGAGTTACTTCCTTTATCCAGCGTTTCTTCACAATCTTCTTGGCTCCTCCAGCCCCTAATGTTCCCCTAATCTGCCCAGACCCCCATTCTCGTCCCAGCTCCACGGCATGCCTGTGAGGGTTTGTGGGGCGACAGCATCTCTTCAGCCAAAGCTGGACAATGGGAAAGGAAGGGGAGTGGGGCAGATTGGATCTGGCCCTGCTCAGCCTGGAGGAGAAACTCAAGAGGTTTATCCAGCCATTTCTCGCCTGTTTTTTGCCAGCCCTGAGTTAGAGATGCCACTGTGCTTTTTTTTCTCATCTTTCCAGATTCTACTCCCTCCCTTCCCAATGCCAGCCCCTTTCTGTTTCAAATGCACTTCCCTCCTTTCTCCTCTCTGGGGCTGGGGGACAGTGAAAAGTTCACAACTGTGGTTTTTTGTTTTTTTCTGTTAATCATAACACACGTGGCTCAGGATAATTGAAGTCCATGTAAAAAATCCAGAGTGTTTTTAATGGAAAGAGCATGGATTTTGATGTCCGAAGACTTGAATTAAAATGCTGCCCACTGCATCCTCACCAACTACTACCTAATGACTGGACAAATTATTTAACCTCTCTGAGCCTCAGCTTTTCTCACCTACTGTTAGGGTTTTTCTCTGTGTCCCCATCCAAATCTCATCTTGTAGCTTCCATAATTCCCAGATGTTGTGGGAGGGACCCTGTGGGAGACAGTTGAATCATGGAGGTGGGTCTTTCCCGTGCTATTCTTGTGATAGTGAATGAGATCTGATAGTTTTAAAAATGGGAGTTTCTCTGCACAAGCTCTGTCTTTGCTTGCTGCCATCCACGTAAGATGTGACTTGCTCCTCCTTTCCTTCTGCCATTATCGTGAGGCCTCCCCAGCCATGTGGAGCTGTTAAGTCCAATAAACCTCTTTCTTTGGTAAATTGCGCAGTCTCAGGTATGTCCTTATCAGCAGCGTGAAAACGGACTAATACACCTACCAAATGAGGATAATGAAATTTGCCCTGCTCACTTCACAAGGTGGTTGTGGGATTAAATAAAAGGATGTGTGTGAAAGAATTTTTGTAACTAGTAACATTTTGCCCACTTGTTAGCATAAGACCATGATGCCTCCTGATGGGCAAAGCACAAACTCCAACCTTCAAACCTCTTTTTCTGACTCCCTCCTCTTCGGGGCCCTTCTCTGCGGAGGAGAACCATATCCTCTGTAACAGCCAGCCTTGCCTTTTTCTGTGTCCCTTTGTTTCCAGAGCATGTCATCTGTACCAGGTCCTCTGACATGGTATAAGAATATGGTACCATTAAAGAAAAGGAACTTCTGTTGTCCAGACTCCCTCTTCTGCCAACCTACCTAAGCTTGGGCCATGTTACTTGTCTAGTTCAAAATTAGCTCACCTGAATGCTCATTTTTTCTTTCTCCTTTGACCTGGGGAAGATGGGGAGGCAGAACTGCCCTTGTCCTTGAGTGTTAAAATATTAAAATGCCCCTGTTAGGGATTGAAGCTATAAACTGGGCTGGCTGTATAGAAATTGTAAGGGAGAAGAAACCATTAACTGGCCCATATTAAAATTATAATAGCAGCTAACACATATTGAATATTTAACCATGTGGCACACAGTGTGTTAGATATTTTACATGAAATAGGCCTTCAATCCTTACAATAACCTATTAGGAGATACTATTATTATTCCCATATTACAGATGAGGAAACTGAGATCCATAGATGTGGAATGCTTGCCTAATAAATAAAGATAGGAGTGCTCAGACTGGTGCTGTGATAGGATTCGTGCCCAGGAAGACTTAAACTTGCATGATGGTCAGACTCCATTTGTACTGCGTGGATAGTATCATTAGTCTTGAAATATAAATAGAAACTCCAAATGAAGACTTGATTCTTTAAACAGGATTAGTATTTGTTTTGGTGCCTGGCAGGGCTGTGAGTGCCCGCAGGAGATATGCTCCATGAGTCTTTTTTTTTTTTTTTGCAGTTTCTAGAAAGGATTAGGGTTGCATTAATGGCTAGGGATTAAAATGGTCTCCCTTTTGTTAACTCACTGTTTCCACAAAAGAAAGAGACATCTGCCTTGTCCATCCTAGGACAAAGGGATAACTATGAGTTTGTCAGTCATTAGTTATGCATGTCAAGTACCAAAGTGACTTTTATTTTTGGCTCTTGCTTGAGTGTTTTTCGTTACTCAGGAAGCCTTTATAAAAGTATTGAAGTACAATGCACATATAAAAAGTATGTAGATTGGAAGTATTCGTTGCACTATAAACGTATAAATTGGGCGCACCCATGCAACCACTACTGAGATAAAAACAAGAACAACAACAGAAAGCCCCAAAAAGCCAGAACATTACCAGGAGCCTGCTTCATGCCCACTTCCAGTCAGTACCCCTCCCAAGGGTAAACCACTATTCTGACCTCTCGCAGGATAGGTTCGTTTTACCCTTTTGTCGTACTTAATATAAATGGATTAATACATTCTATTTTATGTTTGACTTCTTTTGCTCAACATAGTTTGAAAGATTTATCCATTTTATTTCTTGAACTTATAGATAATTCTCATTGGTATATTCTGTTTTGTTAACGTGCCACATGTGATTTATCCATTCTTCTGTTGATGGGGAATTTCCAGTTCTGCCTTTTACCAATAGCACATTCTTTTGACAGATTTAAATATACATTTTTGTTGGTATACGCCATAGGATTGGAATTTCTGGGTCATAGAATATGCATATGTTCAGCTAGACACTACCAATTTTACATTCCCAAACGGATCTATCTTTCTAAGATACAATTTAGGGTTCAACAATCATTTTTGGAGCATCTCAGGCCTACGCTAATGTTTGGTGACTCTTCTGTCTGAATCAGAATAACCCTCATTACATTTGTGTCAGTTGGCACCCAGAATTCTTAATTACTTTTCTTTCCTGGAATAGAATCTTAATAGTAAGGCTTTATGCAATTAACATTTATTGAGCTTTAACTGGTTGGATAATTTGCTGTGGTTTAAGAGTGCACACTTTGGAGCCAGACTGTCTGAAATCAAATCTCAACTCTGCTACTTAACTAGCTTTGTGATTTTGGCAAATACGTAATCTCTCTGTGCCTCAGTTTCTTCATCTATAAGATGATGGTGACAATAGTACCTATCTCATAGGATTATTATAAGTTAGTAAATAAATAAATAAATAAATAAATTAGTGTCTGTGAAGTGCTTAGAACAGTGCGTGGCACATGGTAGATGTTTAATTTAGCAACCAGTTACTATCATCATTATTAATTATTTTGTACAGAATCCCACATTGGGAGTTAAAGATACATAACTGGATATAGATACAGCAACTGCCCTTTGGGATTTCTTAATCAAGTCAGGCGATGAGATGCTAAATATAAAGTCCAAAAATGAAGAGACTGAAAAATATGTTCATTCTGTCTTGTGATCTGATGGGAAGCCTGACAGGCAGGGACGAGCTCTTCCAAGTTTACGGCCTCTTAGACCTCAATTACTACTCTAGAGAATAGTGTTATGTGTTTAATTCATGAACCTCTTTAATCTAGAACAAGGATAGTTTAGTCAAAAATCTGTTTTCCGGACTCTCCTTCACATAAACAATTGCTAGCTCATTAAAGAATGTTTTAACACAAAAAAGTAATTTCTACATTTGTATGGGTAAATAAAAAAGAGTGATAGCTTTTGTAGATTGTAAAGGACCTTGAATGTTACACTGAGGAATTTGAACTTGCAAATTGACAAGGAGCTACTAAAGCTTTATGTCTAGAAATGGAAAAGTTAGGACTTTTTGAAAGATTATCTAAATGAGGAATGGGGATGAGATTTCTTTTTGGAATGATGAAAATGTCCTAAAATTACATTATGATGATGATTGTACAACTCCAAATTTACTAAAACGCATTGAATTGTATACTTAAAAGAGTGAATGTGGCTGGGCCCCGTTAGCTCAAGCCTGTAATACCAACACTTTGGGAGCCTCAGGCGGGAAGATCACTTGAGCCCAGGAGTTTGAGACCAGGCTGGGTGACATAGTGAAACCCCATCTGTACAAAAAATTGGAAAAAATAAATAGCTGGGTGTGGTGGCATACACCTGTGGTCTCAGCTACTCAAGAGACTGAAGTGGGGGATGGCTTGAGTCTGGGAGGTTGAGGCTGCAGTGAGCTCTGATAGTGCCACTACACTCCAGCCTGGGCAACAGAGCGACATCCTGTCTCAAAAAAAGGGTGAATTTTGTGGTATGTAAATTATAGTTCAATAAAGCTGCTAATAAATAAGGTAATTAATAGATGAGGATCATCTCGTGGTGGTCCAAGCCTCTCGTTTCACAGATTTGAAAACTGAGTCTCAGAGAGCTGGAGTTTTTTATCCATGGTCAAACATCTACCAAGTAGAGGAGCTAGCATTGTCTTATAGTTGTTCAGTATGCATAGTGTGTTCAGACTAATAAAATGTGGCGTTATCACAGCAACGACAGCCAAAATAATTGGAGTGCCAGATGGGTATAGAATGCTATCCTGGATAGTAATAATAATAATAAAAATAACACTTTATAGTATGTTAGTAACACTTTGTAGCACTTTGTCATACCACACAGGAAA